TTTAAGTGTGCAGTTCAGTGGTATCATGTTCACACTGTTGACCCTGTACCCATAACTCACCAGTAACTCCTCGTTTTCTCTCCCTAAGCCCTGGATAACCACTGTTCTATTTTCTGCCTTTATGGACTTGACTGCTCTAACTACCTCATATCAGTAGAATCATATAATATTTGTCATTTTATGTCTGGCTTATTTTACTCAGTATAACGGCTTTAAGGTTCATTCCTGTTGTAGCATGTATCAGAATTTCTTTCCTTTTAAAGGCTGAAAAATATTTCATTGTATGCATCACATTTTTTTTATCCATTCATCCATCCACAGGCATTTGATGGTTGACTCTTATGAATAATGCTATGTACATCTATATTCAAATATGAGTCCTGGCTTTCAATTCTTTTGTGTGTGTCTATACCTAGAATTTGAATTGTTGGATCAAATGTTAATTCTGTGTTTAGTTTTTTTGAGAATCCATCATAAAGTTTTCCGTAATATATTGGTTTTTTTCAGCTTGTGGAAAATGTGTTTTGCATATGAAAAACAAAAAAAGATGGTGCCTTCAGAAAGAGCATCCCAGAACAATGCTAAAACTGTGCATTTGCAAAGAAAAATGCCTGTTACATTTTTAAGAGCAATGTTTGTGAAATCCATTTTGGTTTTTAACTCTTCATTCCAAAGAATTCAATATTAGTGACATTCAAATTAAATAAAAATGGCAGTGGCAACACTTCAGTAAAGACCACAGGCTACCTGGAGTGTTGATTCAATGACTAGAAATCAAGCACAGGAGTGGTTGGAAAGATCAGGGAAATGAGAAGAGGGTTTTGAAGCTGACCCATGAGCTGCTGAGCCCATTAGAGTGAGTAAATAACTTCATTGAAAACAAGACAGGAGAGTGATGGGGATAGAAAAGAGACAGCAAACAGGGGCACCTTTTACATCATGAGCAAAGAGATGGAGGTCACAGCTTGCGAGGCCACCGAAAGTGGCTTGATTTGTAAATATTAGGGACATGAAATTTCAGGGAAAACAAAGCAAAGTCTGTCAGAAATGGTTTTAAATAAATAAGCCCAACCACAAAAACCTAAATCAACTATTGGCTTTGCAGTTGAGGAGGGAACAGCTACGGAGCATTAAAATATTTGTGTGAAGAATAAGGCTACGTGCATGGAAAGTCAATCTATGATGCCTCCTGTTTATAGATATTTCACATTTTGAAAGCCAAGTAGTTGCTAGCCTAGAAAGTTTGTTTCTGATTTAAGGTATGCTCATGTAAAAAGAGGAAATTGCTGGTTCGTTTTGCAGCTGAATAAGTGTTTCATATGCTGGTGTCTGAACTTGGGAGTGGAGATCATGGAGTACCTGCCCTCCAGAAGCTTATGGTAGGGTGGGTTGAGGCAGACAGGTCCATTAGGTCATCATCCTCAATCCCTTGTCCTCAATACCATCATCCTCAATACAATGAAGTGGGTTGAGGCAGACAGCTCCATTAGGTCATCATCCTCAATCCCTTGTCCTCAATACCATCATCCTCAATACGATGAAGTGGGTTGCGGCATACAGGTCCATTAGGTCATCATCCTCAATCCCTTGTGGACAAAGAAGTGCCAGATGCCTGTGTGTGTGAGTGAGCAGAGCCAGGGTCTCTTGCTATGGTACCTAGAGATTCTGGAAATCTTTCTGCAGAAGGGATCTGGGATGACACAGAAGGAATAGGGGTCAACTTCCCAAGGGGAGGAAGATAGGCCTGGGGTGGAATAGAATGTCTCCCTAGGTTGAGCAGAAGTGGAGGAGGTAGGAGATTTGGTGAGGAGGGGATTGGGGAAAGAGAATACAATGTATTGGCAGCTACAGCTGTTCAGTGATATTCCTAGGCCATGAATTCCAAGTCCTGAAACAGCAGGGAATAATGCTGGAGAGAAAGATGAAGACTACTTGTTTTTCTTTTTCTCATTAATGAATCCATCCCATGCCAATCCCCTGTCTTTCTACACAAGCACACTTTTTGGAATAATCACACTTTTGGTAAGTTAAATTGAATACTAATTGTAATCAGGCTACTCTTCTGCCATGGAGAAGCTGAGCGATATGAACGGTAATCAGCCTTGTGTCCTCAGGTTTTGGCTACTGAGCTGTCCTTCCCTCACTGTCTAAAGTGAGCATGTGCTTGGTTTCCCAGCACCCTTTCTGCCCCAGTGCTCTTGAGGAGCAATGGTGAAGTTGGGGGTATTGACTTTAGATGAAGGTCAGTTGGTTTAAGGGTAATCCTATCTCTACTGCCACAGTTTTGATTTACGCAATAATGGGCACGTGGCTGGGCACAATACTCCCCAAACTCACAAGAGACTGAGAAGAGAAGAGCCCTTAAGACTAGGAGTGCCTGACCAGCCTGGGCAACATTGTGAGACCCTGCCTCCACAAAAAAACTTCAAAAAAAAAAAAAAAAGCCATGTGTGGTGGTGTGTAACCTAGTTACTTGGGAGCCTAAGGCAAGAGGATCACTTGAGTCCAGGAGTTCAAGTGACCTATGATTGTGCTCTGGGCTACAGAGCAAAACCCTGTGTCCTAAACAAAACTGCACTCCTAATCAAAGAGAAAGGAAAGTTGGGAGGAAGTTTGGGAGAAAGAAGTCATGGAACACCAAGCTCTTTTGGCTGCAAGAGGAGAACCAGAAGTTTACTTATCTAGGTGCTACAAAGGGACACAAGTTTAGGATCAAGGTGATATTATGGAAAGCAGAATAGAGACATGGAAAAAATCAGGGTACTTAATGACACTACCGAGCTGTGAAATCCACTAACTCTGAACCTGTCCCATAACAGCATTTTCTGTTGTGAAAGCAAATAATTTTCCTTACTGTTTAATTCAGTCTGGATTTGTCCTTTGTAACCTCAAATCATGTGTACCCAAGTCCTTGGCTTTTGTGACCACCTGCAGACACCTGGATGACCTTTTGTGATCATTATCTCTTTGAGATCCAGAGCAAAGCCTGGGGGAAGAGACATGAACTACTACATGTCAGGTGCCTACCGTACACCATGTCCTAGGTTGGTCCTTGGTTTTAGGAAGTTTAGAGACTAGAAGAGAAATGCACCAGGCCCAGATAAAATGTCAGAAATAAGATCACGTAAGATCACATGCATATGGCGGGTCTTTGTCTTTCATATTATTATATCTGCAAAGCAGGTATTTATCCTTAATATGTGTTGGATCCTTCTCTTCAGGCACATGATCTGACATGAGGTAGGTGCAGGGCGGGGATCAGAAAGGGGAAGGAAAGGATATTTGAAGAACGGGTGTTCAAGCCAACACCGGGAAGTTGGATGAGAAAGTGTTAGGATGGCCAGGCGTTGTGGCGGGCGCCTGTAGTCCCAGCTACTTGGGAGGCTGAGGCAGGAGACTCGCTTGAGCCCAGGAGTTGGAGGTTGCTGTGAGTGTGATGCCACGGCACTCTACCCAGGGGGATAACTTGAGGCTCCGTCTCAAAAAAAAAAAAAAAAAAAAAAGAAAGTGTTAGGAGAAAAATGGGAAAGAACATTTCAGGGAAAGAAACATGCACAAAGTTCGGGAGGAAGGAAGGAACAGAGTGTGCTCAAGGAAGAGAAAAGGAAGTGTGTGGCCAGAGTGTCTGAACAAGGGATAGCACAGCCGGAGACGAGGTTGGAAAGGCATGATGGGACAGATAGTCCTGAGCCTCCTCGGCCATACTAAAGATTTTGGATGATCTAAGTGTAAAACAAAGCCATTAGAAGGTCTTAAGCAAAAATCTCATATATGAGGCTGATAATTAAGTTTGTGAATTCATCCTAGAAAAAGTGTTATATGCCTTGTTGCTGAATATCACTACAGTCGCCTTTGAGTTTCTCCCCTGGGGAGGTAAAGCCTGATGCCAACGTGTAGTCCACCCGTCAAAGCAACTTGTAACTCTTTCTGGAGTGGCCATCAGAGCTCTCCTTGTGTGAGGTCTGACAATTAAGTACTCAAACTTCATGCCTCACTGCTCAGTATCACTACGGTCACCACAGTACTATCTGGTGACCGTAGTGATATTCAGCAGTGAGGTATGTAGCATTTTTTCTAGGATGAGTTCAAGAACTTAATTATCTGACCTCATAGACACTTAGATGGGACTTGGGTAGTCAGGAGAGGTGAGCATTTGGCTGAGTGGTTGTTCTGGCTGTGTTTGGGCCAGAGTGTGGCAGTGGAGATGCACCAGAGTGGATGGATTTCACAGTATTTTGGATGTAGAGCAACCATATTTGGTGATAGATGGAAGGAATGTGATAAATTGTGGGGAAAGTGATGTCTAAGATGCTGCCTCAGTTTCTGGGTAACTGGGAAAGACTGAAGCAGGCAAACTTTTATTGGTAGGAAAACAAACTTTAATTTTTAACATGTTTAAATTTGAGGCCTCTGTTTAGCATTGAAATTCAAATATTGAGAAGCATTTTACTACTTTCTGATACTCATCAGAGAGGTCTGTCTAGGCTGCAGTTAAAATTGAGAGTCACTGGCATATTGATTGGAAACACACAAATGCTGGCACCTGGCAAGGACGGAGCACAGAGTGGAAAGAAAACATCTTACATCACCTCTTTGGGGAAGGCTTCCTTTGTCCCTCGTCAGGGACAAGTAAAGTATTAGTCGGAAGCCTGGCAAAGAGGCAATGATGGCCTGAATGGGGTATGGAGTAGCAGGTAGGATTTTAGAATTGCAGAAGCCGCCTAGAGGGGGAAAAATGCTAAGAAAGGAGAAAGTCAAAGATTTGGGGCAAAAAGAGGTTATTAATGCTGTGGAGTCCTGAGGGAGCCTGGGGAGGAGGGTGGTTGGGTATTTGCCTTAAATCCCCTGCAATCAAAGGGAAGGGGGGTAGAGATAGGAGTTTGAGTAAATGTGACATGGTGGGATCACAGAGAAGTGAAATCATTCACTACCAGGAAAGTCAGAACACACAGAGCTGCCATGTGCACACATGTACACACGTGTACACACTCATACACATCATGGTCTACGGGCGCCATCTGGGTGGAGCGTGTGGTTCTCATAACATTCACTCCGACTTATTTGATGAGTACATAAGAGGGGCTGGTAAGTAACTGTTGCATTAATAAATATCCCTAGAAAAGGGAACTTTAGATTTCATTTGTTGGGGTGTTTATGTTGGAAGGCATAGACAGAGTAAGATAGAAACAATTGGAAGCCACTGGACTTGACCCTCTCCAGGGCCCCCCTCCACTGGTTTTTCCCACCTTTCCATGTAGAAGTGATAACTCAGTTTTAACATCACTCGTTCTTTTGTGTGCCTCTTCCATTATGTAGTGAATTCTCTGAAGGGTAGCATCTGCCACATGTAAAGATATGTTTCCAGAATCTGACCAGGGATGGCACATAGTAAGTGCTCAGTAACTATTTGTTGAATGAATGCAAGAGAGTAGACTTGAGTGGGTGCGTACAGAACAGAGAAGATTCAGAAGAGGGAAGGAGGGAGCACTTTCAGATTCAGGGAGAAATACACGCTAAACTGCAGGGGTTGGAATTGCTGCCTGTGTAGGAGGCAGTAATGAGATTGCCTGATTTGGTATACTCATCTGTAATGTGGGGATTAGTTAACTTGCTTAGAGTCAAACAACTCAGAATTAATGGTTTCTGGATTTGCACTGAAGTCTTTCTGATTTCCAGGCTCCGAGTTTCCTATTACACCAAGCTCCCTCCTCCCCATTATTTTCCATAGTTATCACACCACCACTCACCGTGCTGATGCCTTATTTTTTCCCACTTTGGTCTGATGAAATATTTTCTGTCACAGACGCTTTCTTTCTATGATTTGTTTTCTGAGTTCTATTTGTTCCTCTTCCCTAGCTCTCCACTGTGGTTTGAATCCACGGGGTATTGATCACCCTGCCCGAGCCGAAGGTATTAAACTACAAATTGAAGGTGAAGGTGTGGAATCTCCATCCAATAAAAACAAAAATTTCCAGAAGGTGCCTGACCCTAAAGGAACCCCCAAGCGACTGCAGGCCGAAGCTGAGACGCCTAAGGTGGGTAATATTCCAGGTAATTGCAGAGATTCTAAAGCTTTGATGTGCTGAGGTCCAGCCACGGAGAAGAACTGAGAGTGCTCTCACTACTTACCATGTATTGCCACTTAAATAAATGCTGTATCTTGAAGACAAGTTACAATAGATGAAAGATTAACCGCAGTCCCTTTGGCTCAGAATTGGAACACATTTGTGACCAGTCTCCTAGCGTAAGGCTCTGAGCTACAAGAGTCATCTGCCAAGTTCAGGTTTATCCCTTTATGATGTTGGGCAAGTCATGCAACTTTGAATCTCAGATTCTTCAAGTACAAAATGGGAATCTTAAAAACTGCCTCCCCCATCAGGTCGAGCAGAGCAGATGATTTCATGCTTGTGGAAGCATTTTGTAAAAGCCCCACAGCTGCCATACTGGGAAAGGCTTTGGCTTATGTATGGGCACTATGAATAACAGCCGATATTTTGTGAAGTATGTATGTACGTTCCAGGTCCTGTTTGAAGGACTCTTGATGTTCTGGCTTATTGTGTCCACATTACAGTCCTGTGAGGTGGAAACATGCAGTTAGGAGGACTCTACTTACTTAGTGGAAGATAAAATTGTGCTGTCTTAGCATCTTCAGTTTTCTGTACCCTTTAACCTACAAGTAGGTACCGTGAAACGCAAGAACATTGGCAAAGATACATTGAAAGGTGGGCTTGGGAGTAGGTGAATCATTAGTAAGGACAGCCTCTTAGAAAGGCTGTCTATAATGGAGTTGGCGCTTACATAGGTTTTTGGCAGAAATCAGTGAAGATGTTATGGGCATAGTGTTGAAGATGTTTATATTACTTTTCCCCTTGGAAATTAATCTTCATATGGCATTTGATTTTTCCCCTTCTGTATATTCTCTGCAAGAGACTTTCCTTTCAAATGCTTGTTGAGTGAATGGACATAGGCATGCCTTGGAGAACAAATGTAAGCACTTAAGAAAAATTTTAAGGAAATAGGTCACTTAGTACCATAACCACCTCTTTTCTCTTAAGTAATGGTTTCCAAAATCAAAAGTGAATGTTTTTCCTTTATCTACAATTTTGAATAATTACCATGCTTCTCTTTAGTGTGAATAATTAAAAACTGTTGACATTAACAGTGTGTGTGTGTGCACGTGTGTGCAGTAGAAAGGGGGGGATTACCAAGGAAGATATCATAAGTATTTTGCACGAGATATTTTAGCTGAGAGAAAGCGTACCTCATGGGAAATTGGTTGATTGTTCAAGTTTGGTTTGTGAGAAAAGTTGGAAATTAAGTGAACCTTATTAAGATATCTCGAATAATCCAGGGCAAACATCTTAAAGGTGGTCTTTAGTTTATGTGAGTAGGATATTTTCAAAAGGGTGCTTAAAACATTAAAAGCTACCATAGAGAGAAAAGAATAACATATTTCTGATTTTCATTTCAACTATAATCAAATATTTCTAGATTATAATTCTTTGCAAGTAGATTGGTAAGGTAAATGATCTGATTCAAATCTGATATAATTTGATTATTTCTGAATTATCTTGGATATGTGACATTGTAGTAAATCCTGAATTTTTGTCAGTAGCACTTCAGCCTTTGGATCAGTTTGTCATGAATGAAAACATATTTCACTGAGAATACGGATGTCTATCCTGAGCCTTTCTGCAGGAATAGACCACGTACTGAAACTCAGATTCATTTGAGATTGTTTAAATCATCGATAATGAAAACTTCCTCCCAAATAAATGAGAGGAAAAGGAGATCTGGAGTGTTTTATACTGCCATCATGTTTAGAAATGAACAGACAATACTTTATTACAGCTGAGACAAAGCATGTGTATACTTTGCCACAGAGGACAAGGTGACCATGGTCGTCGCTGGGGGAACGGGGCTCAGAGTGCTGCAGTGTGATTATGATGGATGCCACCAGCAACAAAGACCCTGAACTTGTTTTTTCATGTACAAACACATTTACATTTTTCCTTCTGTTGCATTTATTTAGAGGGCTAGGGGACTTGTGAGCCATCTTTTTGGTTTTAGGGGTAAATAATTAAACCTTGGGTAACCTCATCTGCTCTAAATTCACCTTAACAAAATAAACCTCTGCTAGAAATGCATGCATTTAAAGCCATTCGGTAATATAAATTGGTACAGCTTTTCTGGAGGACAATTTGATCATAGTTATCAAAATTTTAAATGTGTTTAATTTGTGGGCCAATAATTTCTTCTCTAGGAAATTGTCTTTGTCCAAAGGAAATAATCTGTCCAGATGTACAAAGATGGCTGCAGGAGCGAACACTGGAAATAGCCCAGATGTCCATTCGTAGGACAGTAGCCAAAGAAGCAGTGTGTATTAATGCAATGGGGCAGGATACTTCCTTTGTAAGGATGCAGGAGACCTATTTGTGTGGATGTGGGAAAAACATATGATTTTATATATATATACATATATATATATATAATTTTTTTTTTTCTTTTTTGGCTGTGGCCAGGTTTGAGCCCGCCACCTCTGGTGTATGAGGCCAATACCCTACTCCTTTGAGTCACAGGTGCTGCCCAACATGTGATAATATTTTAAGGTAAGGAAGAGAGAAGGGCCAAGTATGGCACAGTGTGCAAGGTATGTTCCCATTTATGTAAAAATGTCTTTGTGTAAAGGCATCACTGAGTCTGGGAGAATTTACTCCACAGTTTGAGCAGCAGTTTATATCTGGAGTTGAGATTATGGGGAAGACTTTGACTTTCCACACTTCTGTCTTGTTTGAATGTTTTTAAAGTTGGCTTTAAAGCCCTTTTTAGATTGCTCTATTAACTCTGGTAGCCCAACCATGACTTCCTGTTTGTTGGGGTAGTCGGATGCCTTCTAGGGTGCTGAACTGCTTCGCATGACTTTTAATTCTTACTGCTGAATTTATTTTCCTAAGGAGTGAATTACCCTGAGGCCTTTTTGCCCCCGTGTGCCTTGGGTTGTGAAGTCTATCTGCTTTTGCGTTTATCTACCTAGATTCTGGGAGTCCATAGCTCTGACCAGGTGTTACTTTAATGTTTCAATTTGACATTCTGCCTGTTTACTTCTGACTAATTATGCAAATCAAGTCCCCCCAGATGCACTTTCCCATTTGCAGACTTCACACGGGAAACCTAGTTCCAGCTCCTTGTTGTGCCTTTGGGGCCTGCCACTTTGAGTCTGTCCGTGTTGGGCTTTGAAACCAATCCCTTGGCATCCCACCTGTTCAGATCCCTGGCAGACACAGTGGGCTCTGCATCTCCTCGCTGCTGTGGGTTTCTGACATCTACAGGTTTCTTTTCCTTCATTTAGAGCTTGGTCTCATGTAAATTTAAAAATATTAAATATTTTCTAGTATCTTTCAGCCACTATAGAGCCTGATTGTATCATGTGCTTAATTGAATGTGCTGGCCCTGAAATTTTTGTGCTTTTATCATTAAAAAGTGTGTGTTTTTCCACATCCATTCTGAGAAAAATAATTCTTACTCCTCTATGTTAGTGATATTTTGGGACCATTAGTCCCAGTTCCTCAAAAGACTCCAGACCTTCATTCCAGAAAGAGGTTGTCTTGGGCAAAAGTTGCTTCTAGGACTTATAGAACAACAGAGACCAACGGAGGACCCAGATCACTTTTGGGTCCTGTTATTAGGCAGCATTCAGTCTAGTAGGGGAAAAATTAATGAATCCACTTGAAATGTGGATCGGCAAAAGATTTTCACCAACATAAGTCCTAAATGCCTGTGAGTGCCTAGGAGCCCAGAGAAAGACTAGGTATGTCACGCCACTGCTGTAGTTACAAGTTCAGGAGCAAAAACTGTATTTATTTAGTTTTGCAGAAGAGTACAAGGCATGTTTTCATCTCATTGAAGGCCCAGAAGTTATCCAAGGTGACTCATCTCCCACACGGGAGCATGTACAGCTGTCATCAGAATCAAGGTGAGGATGGGCCTCTGTGACCCAAGGAAGGCAGAGCCACCTCTTCTCACTGGTCTTCTGTACCATTCTAGTCATGTAGGCCCAAGGCCAAGTCACAGATCCTGTAGAACAGGTGTGTGTAGTTCCATGTAGCATATTCCAAAGACACGGCACTGAGAGAGACTGAGGGCCTTCTCAGACAGGTCCAGCCCTGAGGTTAACTAACTCTTTACTCACAGAGAAGTTGAGACAAGACCAAGAGTGGGAACTCCAGCACAAGAACTCCACTTGTGCTGAGAAGTGTGGGTGAAATTCCAACGTGTAGAACTAGGAATGAATGGAGGGGCTCCCTTAGCAGTGAATTCTATGAATCTTGAGCCAAGCCATGGCAGCAGAAATGTTCAGGTGTGTTTGACATCAGTCTCTTAGAGTCAAGGTTTCTGTTGTGGAAATTGAGGCCAGAACAGTAGATTAGGGCCAGCTATATGGGATTTGAATACTGGGATTAGTAGCATCAATTTGATTTTTACCTACATTGTTTGATATCACATAAGGCTATTTAAATTTATTAAAATTGAACATAATGAAATAAAACACTTATTTGCTCATGGCAGCCACATTTCAAGGGCTCAATCGTCACACTTGTCTAGAGGCTACTGTTTTAGATAGCATGCACGTAGAATGTGGCTGTCATGGCTAAAAGTTCTACTAGATGGCACAGCTCTAATCTGGGAGAAACCATTGACGTCCTCTGGGTATATAGGACTAAGATGGAAAATGAAATTGTGTTGACATTCTCTCTGCTCCTTGCCCTTGAGCCTGGTAGACATGTGCTTTAGTAATAAAAAAAAAAAAAGTAAAAATAATCCTGGAGTGTGTTTTGAAAGTGATGTTCCCAAATGCTCTGATGGTTGGAATTTGAGTTTCCATGGCAACGCTGGCTATGGAATAAGATCACCCCATCAACCAGCAGCACCCTGGCTAGTTCCTATCTTGGAATTCTGGGATGTGTTCTCACAAGTGGCCATAACACATTGGGAAATTAGAAACACTTCTAGACTTGATTCTCTAGGAGCTCACAGG